CCCCCCCCCCCCCCCCTAATTATGTTTTGGTATGTCAAGGAATAAATTTTGTGTTTTTCATGATGCAGCTTGTCAGTTTCAGTCAATTCTTTGCTCAGTTTCTTTGTTCAACCCAGTTTCTTTGTTCAGTTTCCGTCAACTATTTTTCTGTAAAGTTTATTGATGATCAATTTGAACAGGCATGCATGACAGATATTGAGGAGTTTGATGATGTAGATGATGATGGCTTGAATAATTGCTCGGTTGATGAGAGATCTGAGTTGCCTCAGCACACTGATCAGCAGATTGAGCAAAATGAGCCTAAAATTGGGATGGGGTTTAATAATCCAGATGAATTGTTTGAGTTTTACAAAGACTATGCAAAGAGCAGTGGATTTCTAATTAAGAAATATACAAGAAGGAAGAATGAAATGAGCATTGTTAGAAGTATGACTTTAGTATGTGATCGAGCTGGCAAACATAATAGTACTTGTCAAAATCCCTTAAAACCACAAGCAAGCTACAGAGTTGGGTGTAACATAATAGTACTTGTCAAAATCCCTTAAAACCACAAGCAAGCTACAGAGTTGGGTGTAATGCAAAGATAACAGCTAGGTTAAAATCCCTTAAAACCACAAGCAAGCTACAGAGTTGGGTGTAATGCAAAGATAACAGCTAGGTTAAATCTAGACGGAAGATGGGAAATATCGGTGGTTGTTCTGGAGCATAATCATGGCCTTAGCTCTAGTAAAAGTCGTTTCTTTCGATGCAACTGAAGAATTAGTGCACATGTTAGACATCAAATTAATCTGAATGATCAAGCCGGAATCAAAATCAACAAAAATTTTAGCTCACTGGTACGTGAGGCTGGTGGATATGAGAATCTGTTGTTGTTTTCGCTGAAAGTCCTTTTCATTGTCGATTCCATTAAAACTTCGATTGTTTACAGCGAATTACAATGAAAAAATAAGAAAATTATAACTTTCTCGAAAAATAACATAAAAATCGTTTATCAACTTCTGCTTTGTGGGACTTTGCCTGTGCCGGGAGTGCTTTGGCTTGTGGACCACCAACTCACAGATTGTGAAGGATTTGGAGATTCTTTCTTCATTTATCGAAGTAAGAATTTAAAACGAATATCTTATCGATGTAAGATGTTCACTCTTCCAAAGATCAAGTCAGAGCTTAGATCTTTAGGAATCACTAAAAGATTTAAATGCGTTTTTTTTTTTTGGAATAAAGACTCTCTCTCTTGCTCAAATTCACCAAAAGCTTAAGCTTCTCTGTTCCAGTCTGCTCTCTATCCTTGATTTCATGTGTAAAGAGGTATGTATAGGAATAGGGGTGTATAACAGTGGAAATGGAAGCAAAATAGCCAACGCACCGCATCTTCTTTGGGCGCGTCAGTCTTCACTGTTGCGGCCATTAGCGCGTCAGTGTAGGCTGGCGTGGCTAAGGAGGCGGTTTCTGCCACGTTCAGTCATGTTTATAACCATTCTACCACGACTTTAAACCCACAAAATATCACTTTTCTCGGCCTGTAACTACCCCTCCATGTTAGTACATGTTCTTCTTCTGGTATACCGCCATGTGGACTCTCAAAAGATGTTAAAAACTGTCAGCAAATCACATAGGAGATTACCCTGCTATTTGCGCGTCATCATACCCTGTCGCGCATACACGTGTCACACTTCGCCGTCGCGCATACGGACGTCACCCTTCGCCGTCGCGCATACGCGCGTCACCCTTCACTGCCGCGCCTATGCGCGTTACCATAAGCTGTCGCGTCTATGCACGTCATCATCTGTTGTTATGTTAACACGCGTCAGTGTATTTTGTCACGGGCATGCACATTGTTCTTTTCTTAGTCTTGAGTTGTATTTGGATGTCTATAAGTATTTTTTGACGCCGACAGATACCCCCTCCAAAGTATCTCAGACTCATTCTTTTATAGAGGAGCCTAGGACACTTTGGATAAGACACTTCTTATTTGCAATCCTTTTAGTATTTAATTTAGGAGATCGTGTAGAAGGGCCTGTGAACGGCTTCGACTCTTGACTTCTTTATCTTCTAGTCTACTCGGTGCTTTGTAGAATAGCTAAAAATCCTTTTGGTACTGCGTTTATCGCTTGACCGTTGTCGAAATCTTGAGTTGAAGCTGGTGTTTAGTTCTTGTTGTTGAACTGACATTGAATTGATCAACGCGCTTGTCTTCATAAGAACATAGTTTATACTCGTACGTTGACTGGAGTCTATACAGTTTAAGCTCTTAAGGTGTTGGAGCATGGGTGAGCAGTTTATACTCATATACCTTATCGGAGTGTTTAGAAATTAATTTAACCTTGTGTACCCGTTGGGAGATTCCATGAGATGCAGTTTATACTCATATACTCGTCGGAGTTCTCAGGGATGCACTCCAAATACAATGGGAAATGTACCT